TTAGTGATAGATTAGCTTTACAATTTGGAGAAAATCATTAAAGTCTCTTGGTCTGAATTTTTAACATATAAAATGAATGAATTGAGTTAGACAATTTCTTGTCTCTTTTAGGTTTAAAATTCTGTCATTCTGCTATCACTGTGCTTCATGTTGTATAGATCACAAATCAGTACCTGTGGCTGTGGGCCAAATCTGGACTATTTACCTACACTTAGATGGCCAGCATGGGAAAAATTACTTTTACATTTTCTTTTAAATTTTTACACATGCACGCACGCACGCATGCATGCACACGTGCACTTGGAAGTCAGAGGGCAACTTGCAGGAGTGGGTTGTTTCCTTCTACCATGTGGGTCCCAAAGGTCAAACTCAGGCAGATGCCTTTACCTGCTAAGCCATCTCACCAGCCCTCATTTTTACATTTTTAAAAAAAGAAGAGATGGCTCCATGCTTAAGAACACTGGTTGTTCTTGCAGAAGACCCAGGTTCAAATCCCAGCACCCACATGGCAGCTAACAACTGTCTATAACTCCAGTCCCAGGGGATCTGACAGCTTCTTCTGACCTCCGCGGGCATTGCATGACACTGATGCACTTACTTACAGGCAATACACGCATACACATAAAATAATAAATAAAATTTAGAAATAAAGAATGTGTGACATGGGCTTATAAAGGATAATCCATTATAGTTATAGTTTATTAACTTTCAAAGTGTATATAATAGCTGTAAACAAAAATTAAGTTTTGTCACAGTTTATATTTGTCTTAGATAATAGCTAATTCTTTGATTTCCATAATCACACAAAAGCATAAAATATATACACAATACTCAATTACAAATGCAGAGTTTAATTTTAAATTAAAATGTATGTATCAAGCACAAGAAACAAAAATATCTCTAGCATCCAGAAACCCCTTTTATGTCTCTTTCTGGTCACTAATAGTAATCAGCCTTCTAATGACACACTTCAGTTTTTGACCTTCACGTTTGAATCATATGCTTTATATTCTTTGGTGTCTAGATCCTTTCCTCAATACATAGATTTCATCTGTTTGTTGGTTGTAGTTGTAGTTTTCCATTCTTCTTGCTGTTTAATATTCCAGTTGTGTGCCTTATCACATTATTTATTCAGTTGATGGATTTCTTTCAGCTTAGAGCTATTATGATGACAGTTGTTGTGAATACTATTATACCTGGTCTAGGGAAGCATGTGTGCATACATGTACATGTCTAGTCACAGGAATCTATTTGTTTTGCTTAGGCAGATACGGTCAGGTAGTTCCCCAGAAGCACTTCACTGCCATTGCTGTCTGCCCTCGTTTCCATGTATCTCACGCTATTTCATATTCTGTCTTAGTTGTGTCAGGCGTTCTGGTGGAGGTATATATATAATTATCTTGTGCTTTCACTTTCCTAATGCCTAAGGACATTGGGTCAACTTACTTTCTAAAATAATAATTTCTTTTAATCAAATATTGCACAGCTTATAGTATTTACTAGACAGGTGCTTAAACCAACTAAGCCACAAACCTCCATATTACAGCATCCGAAGGATCTTTTGTGGTCTGTGCTATCATTGCTGTTAATATGCTTCATCCTGGGGAGAGGGTTGGGTGGGGAACAGCCCACTGCCACTCCTCCCTGTTGCTTCCCCTCGCTGTTGCTCTGGGTTTTATTGTAAACATTAACCTGATTGGCTTTGTGTTGATGGTGATTTTGATCTTAATTTCAGCGGCCCAGCCCAATCCAGCTTTACTCCCCTCCCTTTGTATTGGCACCAATCAAAGACAAGCAGACAGAGCTGGGAGAGACCCTTGGTGAGGCCAACCAGAAGTACAACGTGCTCTTCGTAGGCTACTGTCTGTCTCACGACCAGCGCTGGCTTTTGGCTTCCTGCACTGACCTCCATGGGGAATTATTAGAGACCTGTGTTGTAAATATTGCTTTACCAAGCAGGTGAGAGACCTTTGTGTTCTGTCATGTGTAAACTGATGCTGTGTCTTTCTGCACTTAGCTTCTGTTCATGTGATGGAGACAAATGGGAGTGTGCTCAGAACTATACTGTGTATGTCTTACTAAGTGATAACTGATTCATAGGAACCCTTCCTCTTTCTTTCTCCATTAGATCACGGAAGAGTAAAGTATCTGCACGTAAGATTGGGCTGCAGAAGTTATGGGAATGGTGCCTGGGGATTGTCCAAATGACATCTCTGCCCTGGAGAGTTGTAATCGGTCGATTGGGGCGTCTTGGCCATGGGGAGCTTAAAGGTGAGAAGTCCCCAACGCAGCAGGTACAGGAGGCAGAGGAGGTTGGGGGAGGGGTGTCTTAAAGCCACCAAAAAGACTGACACATGTTTTTGCTTTACCTTAAAAAAAAAAAAAAAAATAACAACAAAGAACATATTCTTACAATGTAGCCCTGGCTGGCCTGGAGCTCGCTATTTACACCAGTACAGCAGGGTAGCCTGAAACTTGCAGAGATCCACCTGCCTCTACCTCCTGAGTGCTGGGACTAGAGGCATGTACCACCACATCCAGCTGGTAGCTTTACATATAAGGAATAAACCATTGGTTTTTTGGTTTTTTTTTTAAGTTTTCTTTTTTATAAACAAAAATTTAAATATAAAATAGGAGATGTGTTTCATTAGTATAAAAATGACAGTAAATTTAAGTCTCTAATATTACCTTTTAAGACAGTAAAAGAATAAGTCAGGATTAAGACATCTTTATATCAGAGATTGTAGATATTTTAAAGTCATATGTAAGAACAGCCTCAGGGCTAGAGAGATGGCACAGTGGGTAAAATGCTTGCTCTACAAGCATGGGGGCCTGAAATCAGATCTCTAGCACCTATGTTAGGAAAAAAAAAGAGACAGGAGGATCTGAGAGACCCTCTGGCCAGCCATTCAAGCTAATCAGTGAGTTCCAGATTCAATGAGAGGCCCTGTCTCAAAAAATAAAGTGGAGGGAGCTGAAGAAATGACTCTGTGGTTTAGAGCACTGGATGTTCTTGCAGAGGACCAGGGTTCAATTCCCAGCACCCATATGGTGGCCAACAACCATTTTTAACTCTAGTTCCAGGGGATCTCACAGCCTCTTTTGACCTCCAAGGGTGCTGCATGGTACCAGTGCACTTGCATGCATGCAGGCAATACACTCATATACTTAAAATGAAAATAATAAAACTTTAATAAGTGGAGAACAGTAGAAGCATACCGTGTTGACCTTTTGCCTCCATTGGTGCATGCACTTGCACATACATCTACCATACACACATGCTCTAAAGAACAACCCTCAGTTTATTTGTTCCTTTGGTGTTTGATGTGTTTTGTGTTTCTCTAGCTTGTTTGATGGCATCATAGCAAGACAGCCCTGTTTCAAAGGGCAAGTCCTGACATATAAGAGCAGGTCATTATCTTGTCATCAGGGTCTTTAATTTTCTGAGAAAAAGAAAGAACAGATGTTTTTAGCTGTATCCCCAGTTATCCACCACTGCTTATGTTCTCTGTCAGAAGCATAATCACTAGTCATGAAGCACTGAAAGTTCTGTGTGTAATGCCACTGACCACCATTGACCGCATTGCCTGACTCACTTCCTGTCCAGTGTAACTAGCTACTTAGGTTTTTTGTTTTTACAGGATCTCCCTAGCCCCACCCCTCCTAGAACTCACTATGTAGACCAGGCCGGCCTTGATCTCACAGAGATCTGCCCGCCTCTTCCTCCCAAGGGCCGGTATTAAAGGCCTGCATCACCACACCTGGCGTAACAGATTCATTTTTAAAAGCCTTAGCTCATGACATATTTAGAAGTTCAGTATACGTTATAAACAGCAGGGGTTTTTCCTAAGATTGCACATAGAAACAAGAAATCTTAAGTCATAAATGAGCTCTGGTGGTTTCCTAGATGAAACTACAGTAGAGTAAGCAAAGTTTCTTTGTCAAGGGCAAGAGAGTAATTTTGACTTTGCAGACCAGGTGATTACTGTGGCAGCTGTACAGGTCTGCTAATGTGAAGTCAGAGAACCATAAGGCAACACCTACACAAATGAGAGTTTTCTATGTGAATAAAACTTTATTTACAAGAGCAAGTAGTAGGTAGGATTTGGCCTCAGACCGTAGTTTATACCAGACCTTGTATTTGTTTACAGGAAATAGATGTGGAAATATTTGTGGTTTTCCTGATATGAAACCACTGATAGGCACTAAGTGTAACTTCCTTCCCCTAAAGCAAGATAGAGTTGTATTGTCTCATTTTCAGGATTTCTACCAGTGTATACATACAAACACTACATAATAAGTATCCAACAAGATACTTAAGCATATATTTAATTAAAAAATGTTTTTTAGTAATATTTGATACTTTTAATATTTGGGCTTCTCATTTTTTAATATTTATTTCTATTTTATGTGTATGAGTGTATTACCTGTATGTTGTGTAAGTGCACTCATGTCGTGCAATGTCCACAGATGTCAGAAGAGAGGGCATTGGATCCCCTGGAATTGGAGTTAGGATGGTTGTTAGCTACAATGTGGGTGGTCAGAATAGAACCCAGGTCCTCTGCAAGAGCAGCCAGTGCTCTTAACTGCTGAGTCATCTCTCCAGCCCTGGGCTTCTCATTTTTAAAGAGCATCATACTTAAGATACTCAGTGTAATCTTGTCTCAATAGCCTGGAGGGATGATACATTAGGGGATTCCTCATTTCATTTCTGTCAGATTTCCTGTCTTCCTCCCTAGTCTGGTTTTTAGTCAATCTTCTTTCTTAAAGGCTTTCAGCTTTTCATAACCCTTGGGAAGGTTAAAGCATAATAGAAGAGAAGCAGGGGGGTAAGAATGTGTAGTCATCTAGTCACCTCTCCTTCCTTGTGTGATTGTGAGGAGGGGGCACGTTCTCCTTCCTTATCCCTTAGAGAGTGTGTAAGTATAGCTAGAGAAGCCATCAAAAGACAGGAAAAGACAGGAAATGCACGTTCAGGAATGACAGAGAGGACAGGAAATCTCTTCACTGATCTGTGCTTCTTTCCTCTCAGAAGCCATGGTCTGTACATGGTCACATTGCTCTAGCACAGTGTCAGATTAAAGCTTCAGAGTCAGCCTTGTGAATTTCTATTCTCTATCTCCAGAGTGCTTGTAATGAAATATCCTGTCCTTACCTTGTTTTCAATATTTAGATCACATCTGTCTAACTTCTGTAGTTTTAAACATATAGTCCTCATGTTCCAGCCACTTTATTTCCCCCACTTTAGTTTGAGGTTCATTGGGAATATAAAAACATTTTTCCTTTCACTTGCTCTTGAAGAAAAACTCTGTGGCCACAGAGAAGCCCTGTAGCTGAGTAGTGTTTGGTCAGTGAGATCTGGCATGGCAGTAGTTTGCTGCTTGGGAATAATAGTTCACACCTCATGAACATTCAGGAAGTCCAAACAGTGCTTTCTACTTATCAGAGAAATTTCCCTCAGAAGTTCTCTGATTAAACCCAGTGCTTTTGTTTTGAGGTAGTATTAGAAGGAAGAGTGCTACCTGCTTTCAGTTTAGCCTATTAGTATGGCAGTATTTGGAGAACCTCTCACTGTTACCTGTTAGGAGCTCTTTTGGTTAGTCTAAAAACAGCTCCCTTTATTTCTGCTGCTGCTGCTTGCCTTTGATGGAAATAAGCACCTACCATAGTCAAAGGGACTAAGGAAGGTTCTATAAAACAAAAGGGGCTAATGGGGTATTGAAAGAATCAGACCTTGAGTAGGAAGAGAATAGCTAGATCAACCAGCAGTATCCTTACCGTCAAGCCACTTTAATAATCTGAATCTGTCAGGATCTGCTGCAGGCCCTTCAAAGGTCATTCTAGACATGACTTCAACCTACAGAAGTGCAGGCCTTTGTTTCTGTGTTAAAGAAGTGTAATAGAAGTCAAGCAACATTTTCTTTGTAGTAAGGAAGGAGCTAAATATAGAAAGCTGTATTCCCTTTAGGGTCCAATCATGAAAATTAAGTTTCCAAGCAAAACTTGCAGAAACCTCACATCTATATGAATTTCTAAAGGCGGTTTTTGATATTTGACTTCAGATTGGAGCATCCTCCTTGGAGAATGTTCACTACAGACAATCAGCAAACAGCTGAAGGATGTGTGCCGGGTGTGTGGAATCTCTGCCGCAGACTCTCCTTCTATCCTTAGTGCCTGCCTGGTTGCCATGGAGCCTCAAGGGTCCTTTGTAGTGATGCCAGGTAAGTCTCATCTTCTCAGTTTCATTAATTATTATATGAGTTCAGTCCACTCACACTTAAATCCACAGACAATCGTAGAGGGGCATTAGTGTTGCATATCTCTAAGAGGAGCTTGTTCTTTGAACTAGAAAGTGGAAACCATCTCGTCTCTTCCTAAAGGAGTATTAAATTATCTTTGTTGACCATAGCTTGGGGGAGAGATGAAGTTCTGGGTGTGAGTGGAAGCTTGTAAAGCCATAGCTAGGGAGTGTTACCTAATCTAAACTCTTAGCATTAGGATTTCATGCTCCAAAAATCTACTAAAGTGGAAATTGGTGTGGGGCCTAAAAAAGGCTTTTAGAGTCTCTCTGATGTTGAAAATGGGTAGTGAAGAAAAGAAGCGAAAAGCATTTAGCAAGTTAGCCGCCTGCCTCTGCCTCCCAAGTGCTGGGACTACAGGCGTGCACCACCACGCCCGGCAAAAATATGGCTGGTTTTTTAAAAGCAGCAGCTAAGCTGTTTTCTGATTCTATAACTAAGCAATTTTATACTTTTAGGATCTGTCCTTTACATCCAGATACAGTATATCTTTGGACTCTATCCACTCCCTGTGAGAAATCAGTAGAATTGTGTATGAGGACAGGGTCCAGTGCAAGGTCCTGTGCTGTACTGTTCTGCCCCTTAAGTTGCCTTGGTTGCCAAGGTTGGGCAATTACATACCTTCTTGATGCTTCTGTCCTTACTTAATGTATAGTAGGGATGATAGTTGCTACCTCACGGTAGGTATGATTACTCAGTGAGAAGGTATGAATAAAGAGTTAAGCACAAAAGCTGCCATGTAGTGAGCACTTCATAGTGTGCTGACAACATTAGTTGGATGGTACCATCTCTATAGGCTTGCTGTTGTTTAGGGGAACAGTGTTTTATAGATTGTGATTCCATAGGTGGAAAGAACATTGGGGTTAGTTTACAAGTAATTAAAAAAATATTTGGCTGACCCATTCCAAGTTTATTTTAACATTTCCAGTGTGAAATAAGGGTTAGGATATCTGAGGGTTAGGGTTATTTGCTCTGAGTCAGGATTTTTTTAGATACTTAAGCAACTGGGCCCAACTTTGAATGTATGCCCTCATGGGATCTGTACTAGATGTGTGCCACTCCTATTCAGATCCTCTGCAAACTCATTGTGGGGTTGTTCACTACTGCACAGGGTAAACTGACACAGCTCTTCCTTTTTAAAGATGCTGTCACAATGGGCTCTGTTTTTGGCCGAAGTACTGCACTGAACATGCAGTCGTCTCAGTTGAACACTCCTCAAGATGCTTCCTGTACCCACATCTTGGTGTTCCCAACATCATCAACCATCCAAGTGGCTCCAGCCAACTATCCTAATGAAGATGGATTCAGCCCCAACAATGGTAAGTTCCTATGGTAGGGAGGATCTTCTTCACAAATAGGGGCAGATTAAGACTGGTGCCATTGGCCACTGCAGGCTGTTCTGTGTTGTGTGGAGGAGCTCATGAAACATGGAGGGGAGACTGAAGGTCTGAGCATCTTTTAGGTTTTAAAGCTTTAACTGCTGTACAGTATTGTATTAGTTACTTCTGCGTTGCTCTGACAAAACATCTGAGAAAAAGTTGTTTAGGCTCCTGGTTTCCGTCCATCATAAAAGGGAAGGTTGTGGCAGAGCAGAGCAACTCACATGGCTGCCAGGGAGCAGAAAAAAGAACACTTGCTGCTCATTCTCTCCTTTCCCCACTTTTTTTTCTATCTGAGCCCTCAGCCCATGGGCTGGTATCACCTTCATTCAGGGCAGGTTTCCCCCTTATCCCTTAGTAAATAATGATGCTCAGTGGAAACACATACAGAGAGAGCAAGAGAGAGAGAGAGAGAGAGAGAGAGAGAGAGAGAGAGAAGAGAGAGAGAGAGAGAGAGAGAGAGAAAAGAGAACGAACACAAGGGAGGGAGAGCATGAGCCAGCGTGTTTCACTAATCGCTGAGATGCATCTCAATTCAATCAAATTGACAATCAAAATTAACCATCAAGACCAAATAAATAATTTTCCCCTCTTGGATGATTAACTTTCTTGGGTATTTTGTTTTATTTTTTGTAAAAGGCAAAAATAACAACTGCCTGTACTTGCGCATAGTTGTTAAGCTGATCTGAGTGTGTGGACACCATGACAGTAGAAAATACACCTTCAGCTAGCCCTTGAGATTGTAATTTGCTAGAGAGCAATGTCTTATTTTATTATTCTTTTTAAAATATTTTTATTTATTATTTTTATTTTATGTGTATGCATGTATTGCCTGCATGTAGGTAATTGCACTCGTGTCGTGCAATGCCCTTGGAGAACAGAAGAGGCTGTCGGATCCCCTGGAACTGGAGTTACAGACAGTTGTTAGCTGCCATGTGGGTGCTGGGATTTGAACCCGGGTCTTCTGCAAGAACAACCAGTGTTCTTAACCTCTAAGCCATCTCTCCAGCCCCTATTTGATTATTCTTTATGGAATATTCTTAATTCTCATTGTTTAATAATGATTACAGCTATTGCTTAAGTCATAAACCATAAAATGCTCAATTTTGTGCATCCATTGGTACTGCTTTTGAAGAATTTTTAACAGCTATTAGCATTACTCTTGTTGAGTGGGGAGGGAAAAAGGATACCAAAGTTTATATGTAAGATGAGCACATTAAAAGAACATGCCTGAGAAAGGAAAGGCTGGTGGCAAAGTGATTGTGGTACTTGGGTTATTGGTATTGGTTTTACATTGATACTTTTCTTTCCAAATTTTCTGCTGAGGGCACCTTGCTTTTGCAGTGTGGAGAGAATTCCTTAATGAACACTGCCTTGATCTGCTTTGGAATGGGCTTCTCCCACGTCAGGGCAGGTTCACACCTGTTAACCTGAAGTCATTCAGCCTCCAGTCCTTTAGGTACTAATAGGTTACGTAGATGGAGTCTACTGTGTCACTGGATGGTGTCGAGTTTAACTCTGTAATAATTAAATTGCTTCTTTAGCTGTTTTGCCATCTTTGTCTTTAGAGACTTTAAAAGTGGGGATTTTCTTTGATGGTCTTTAGTTATCCACTGTGGCATTACTTCATTAGGAGATCACTGGAGAGAGAACAGAATGAAAGAACAGTCCATGGCACTTGCATACAGTAGGCACTCATCAAGAATCATTAAGTCCTGTGTCCATAACTGTCATAGATTAGCAAAAAATGGTGTGGGGAAAGTTGGGAGTATGGGTTTTTTTTTTTTTTTTTTTTTTTTTTTTTTTTTTTTTATAAATAGCTCTACATTGAGGTCTGAGTAATAGACATACAGAAAGACCATCACTTGCTTTAGTTTAAGAGACCTTCACCTAGTTGAGTAAATTATGTGCATGGTTCTTCTGGTTTTTACTAGGTAACTAATTGTTCACAAAGCCCAAAGCTACTTTATTCATGTACATCCTTCTTATCTGCAATGTAATCTACAATTTCTTGTGGACACATTAACTTCTCTGCATCTATATCAGGAATTTCAAACCCAAATTCGTCTTCCATGGCCATAATGATCTCCAGTTGGTCCAAACTGTCTAAGCCCAGGTCCTTCATAAAATGTGAATTTACTGAGAGCTTTTCTGGGTCAGTTTTGTCATAGAGTTTCAACACATACAGAACTCGGTCCTTGATTCCCGCTAATGTCAGAGGGGGAGCGTCACTATATTAGCGGTACAAATATGTGACCTTTCCTGGCACCTGCGGAGCGCCAAGGCCCGCTGCGGAGCCCCAGGCCTCCTCTGGGTCCTCGAGGGGCACAGAGCGGTGCTGAGCGGCTGGGCCAGAGCGAGCGTGGGAAGCTGGGGCAGTGGAGCGAAGGCCGCGGGCAGGCGGCGGACAGAGGCGGAAAGGACACGAGCCGCCATGGCTGCGCCGACCCAGGATGCCGGGAGTATGGGTTTTATTTTTAACTTTTGGGTGTTTTTTTCTCCCCTCTAGATGATATGTTTGTTGACCTTCCGTTCCCAGATGATATGGACAATGATATTGGAATATTAATGACTGGGAACCTCCATTCCTCTCCCAATTCCTCCCCAGTCCCTTCCCCGGGCTCTCCTGGAATCGGTGTGGGCTCCCACTTCCAGCACAGTCGGGTAAGGACAATTGAAAGGAGGTTGCTGAGAATAACCACAACCTTCAGGAAAATCATTCTCATCACAAATGACCCTTTGACTGCATGCACCACTCTTGTTTAGGTCTGTGGCATCAGAGTTAAGTGTGGGGCACAACTCTCCAGTCTATTGGAAAGAACAGGAATTTGAAAGAAATGTGTAACTGTTCCTGGTGCATTAACTTTATTAGGAAATTATTCCTACTGTATATGTAAGATTCTTGGGTGTTTTTCTGGAGTTTTTTTTTGGGGGGGGGTGAAGTTGGAGAGCTGAGGATCTAAGTCATGGCAGGTGTTCTACATCCCTGCACCCCTTAAAAGGGTTTTATGGATTCTTTTTCTGAACAAGAATTAGTTTTTATTTTAATTTTTTATATTTTTCTCAAATAGTGACTTTTAGTAAGAGGCAACTCAGTAGCCCTATTCTTTCAGCATACACAGTAACTGGAGTTGAGGAGCATACTGTTGAATATGGCTTATTCTGCAAGGAGCCTGGCTGTGCCTTTTTTGTGTTCACACGCATTCTTACTCAGCCCTGGTCTTGTCTGCAGCCAACCCGCAGGAGTGTCGAGAGCCACCAGGAGGCAGGTTTTACAGAAATGTCCAGGTTAATGCTATGCACTCATGAACTACTATTACCTTTAAATACATCAGGGTCTCTTATGCAGAGTGATAGAAGATTTAAAAGTTCAAGAGTTGTGTTACAGCTCCTGTTAAGTTGGTTTTCCAGCCAGGTGACTCATGCTTTTTCACTATATTGTACCTTTGTTGAAAACTCTATGAGATTAAGGAGTTAAGTCATTAAGAAATAGCTGGTGTCAACTGAACAAGCACAAGCAGCCCTGCTCACACTGACTTCTGTAGACACAAAAGTGGGCTGAAAGGACCTGGCTTTCTGTCAGGTGAGACCTTTATTGCCAGCACCGAATTCACTGAAGGATGATTAAGAGATTTAAAACTTGAGTCATGAGGCAGCTGACTCGACTGCCCTCATGCTACCACTTGACCCCAAGCCCCTTTTAGGAGGAAGAGATTTTAAATGTCTGTATTTCCTTTACAGTTACTTGCCAGGTAATGACAGTTTGTTCACTGGAGATTGTTTTGATAAAAATAAAAACCACACATTTATACTGGCTCATTTTAAGTCAGTATTTCTGTGAATTCTAGTGGCAGGCAGTATATCAGTCAAGAATGTACACCCTGAGTCCATAGAGCAGCACTGAATGGGGCTCTGCTGCATCCTGGCCTCACAGCCTTGGGCAAGCCTGCTTTACCTTTCCTAACCTGTGTCTGCTGTCTGAAACGGAGGTAACAACAACTACCTCCCTGTACCTATTGCTGTAATTTACTTTCTCCATTAATAATAGGATTGGCCATTGAGATGTAATAGTCATTTTATAAGAAGTAGAGGTGTTCTGTACTTTGTTCCTTTCTTGGAGCCTCAAGCCAGACATCTATAACTGACTGTTGCAGTTGCAACAGCCCAGTTCTCCAACTAGTCAGAGGCCTTTTTAAATCCTAAGCACCTCTATCCAGTTGACTCAAAGAGGCTTTGTTTTGCCTTTTTCAAAACTCTTGAACACCTGTTCTAGTTTCTCCATTGCTGTGACAAAACACTCTGACCAATACCAACTTGGGGAGAAAAGGGTTTATTTGGCTTACTTCTCCTGGGTCACAGGAACCCAAGGTAGGAACACAGGGCAGAAACCTGGAGGCAGGAGCTGAAGCGCAGGCCATGGAGGAACGTGGCTTACTGGCCTGCTACCCCCACATCACTCAACAATCAAGAAAATGCCCCAGAGACATGGCCCCAGGCCAATCCAATGGAGGCAATCCCCTAGTTGAGGCTCCCTCTACCCAGATGTATCAAGTTGACAACTAAAGCTACCCAGCACAATACCCTTTGGTCGCCAGTTAAGACATTCCATAGGAGAGCCAGTGTGTTCAAAGTGGCAGCAATGTTTGTTTCAAAAGCAGTACTGCACATATCCCAAGCTAGCCTAAAATCCTCTATGTACCTAAGGCTACCCTGGAATTCTCTACCTAGCCAAAGCTGGCCTGAAATTCTCTATATAACTAAGGCTAGCTTTGAATTCCTGATCCTCATGCTAGAGCATGAGGTCTACTCCCAGGTGTTAGGATTACAGGTGTCACCATGCCTTGGCTGGTTGTTTTTTCCAGCACATTTTAATTTTTTAGTTCACTCAGAATCACAGTTGATGGGAACATTTTCCCTCTAAACAGAAGGCATTAAAAAACAAACTACGTATTATTGCTTACACTAAAGGCACACTTTACATTCCTGATACCCAATGAAAGTGGCTCCCGTGCTATTAGCAGGTTAGTGAAGATGGACAGCTAGGTGCATTCCTGGGTTTCTGGTGGCTGTTGGTATACAAACACCTGAGTGTGGTCGGACCTTCAGCTGTGGAAGACTACAGTCTTTCCATCTTCGTGCGCTGTGTCATAAAGCCACAGAGCAGACTTTGTGTTGTGTAGAAAACAGTGCTTACTTGACTGATGACTTCAGTTTAATTGGTATCTTCTGCTGTGCCATAGTTTTTGTCAGATGCCTGAGTGTGCTGCAGAGACAGTACCTTCCCTGTTCATGTTGCTTGGTCACCAAGGGCTCTAGTACGAGGGCTGCCAGAGGGGGTACTAGTCACTGTGGTGTTCAGACCGAACTGATGAAAGTTGATTTGTGTAAGCTTTGAGATAAATGATGATTGTACTTGGGGGACCTTGTTTTGCAGAGCCAGGGTGAGCGGCTTCTTTCTAGAGAGGCACCGGAGGAACTCAAGCAGCAGCCTCTGGCTCTCGGGTATTTTGTGTCAACTGCCAAAGCTGAGAATCTCCCCCAGTGGTTTTGGTCATCATGCCCCCAGGCACAGAACCAGTGCCCTCTCTTCCTAAAGGTTGGTTTGATGTCATTTGAAGTTTGTGAGAAATGGTGTTAGTACATGGAAACAATTCCTTGTGTTCAGAACTGTGCTGAGAAACACCAGAAAGATAGCTGGCACCTTTTGAAGCTAGTAGAACACTAGTTTCTTAACTGAAAATGACAGAAATTAAAGTATTTATGGACTGTGTCTTTACATATTTTATTGCTTTAAAATTTTTTATATATCTAGTTTTGTTTCTAGACAATCTCATGCAGCTGTGCTGGTCTGGAACTGATTATAAACTGGCCTTGATCTCAGAGATCTACCTGCCTTTACCTCCCAAGTGCTGGGATTAAAGGTGTCTGCTGCAACTCCCAGCTTAATTTTTATTTGTGTGTGTCCACACATGTGCTTGTGTGCCATGGTATACATGTGGAGGTCAGAGGACAATTCTCTGGAGTTGGTTCTAGGGATCAACTCAGGTCCTCAGGTTTGGAGGCAAATGCCTTTACCTACTGAGCCATCTTGCTGGCCCACATATTTTAGTGTTTTAATAAACTCTGAGAGGATCTTCCTCACATTCACATTACTGCATGTGGGACAACAAAAGTGAGGTACCTTTTGATGTAATCTAATTTCAGGATTTAGCCCTAGTTGTAAATCCTGTTCTTGTCTGCCCTACCTCCAGAGATGCATTCTTAATTGAGCCCCCTGGATCTCATGACTGATTTGTGAACAATCTGGAAGGCAGAACATGCTCCAAAGCACCACAAGAGTGGAACCAGTCATATCCAAGCTGGGACCTTCCAGAGTCCTTACCAGCATATCACTTAATCATTGCCAGACTGGCCTTGGGACTAGGGGGAAGGAAAAAAAATAAAAAGATTATCAGAGAAAATTGTACATGGCTTATTAGTTGATACAAAGAAATCATTGTTAATTTTTATCGTGTACAGTATTTATACTGTTTTTAAAGGTTCTAATCTGTTAGAGATAGATACCTATGGAGTTTACAAGCAAAGTAATAAAATATTTGGCATTATTTTAAAATAATCCAGAGGGAAAAATATTCAAAACAGAATGATAGGTAGTGGCAATTATTCCAGCTTGATGAGAGAGCACACTAAACCTTACCTTATCATAAGAACCTTAGTTTTCCTGTGTGCTTGGCCATTGAAGAATGAAAATAGGTCAGGTGAAATGGCTCAATGGGTAAAGGTGCTTACCTGCCAAGCCAGATGACCTGAATTCAGTCCCCAGGACACACATGGTAGAAGGAGAACTGACTCCCCAAAGTTGTCCTAATCTCTACATATGCACTGCATCATGCAGACACAGACACACACAGGCACACATTTTTTTTTAAAGCAGCAAAATGGAATGGGTTACAACAGGAGGACAGCCCGTGAAGCTTGCTTTGTTTTTAACACTAGCTTGTGTTGCTATTTGTGTTAGACAGAGGTGACTGAGCAGCTTGGAGCCCACAGGCACACTCGAGTCTGGCTTCCAAGGACACAGGGACACATGCATGGGTAGCTGTAGGCCTTGCTTTCTTCTGCACTGTGTGTTTCTGTACGTGGAGGCTAATAGTCTTTGTTCTTAACAGGCTTCACTCCATCACCACATCTCTGTAGCACAGATGGACGAACTTCTCCCTGCCAGGAACTCTCAGAGGGTTCCACACCCTCTGGACTCTAAGACGACATCTGATGTTTTAAGGTGGGTTCCAACTGAGGCAACACAGTAGTCCAGCTTGAAATGATCCTTTGTTTTTGCTTTCCCATGATGTGATAGTGCAAGTATGGTGCTCATTGAGATGCTGCTTTGTGCAGCAGTAGTGTCTAATGAGCCCTAAGAGCAGCTGTCCCTACATGTGCTGCAACAGGGCAGTGTATGGACTTAACTCACATAGACAGGAAGGTGCACAGAACATCCGCTTCACTTTCTGTTCAAAGGATAATGAAATGTCGGATCCGGGGTGGAGGGACAGTTAGAAGACAGTGCCTGGAAATTGCTTTGCCTTGAAAACACTTTATGTTCTGTGCCATAGATAGAGCTACAATCAACTAGAGTACAAATTCTGTGTTGGGAAATCCATTCCAAAAGTGGGAGCTCATTCTCTTGCACTGGTTTTTCAGTAGGCCACAAAATTTTATCTGTGGGCTTGGTAGCTGTGCCTGCCTGTAATCGCAGCACTTGGGAGGTAGCGTTGGATCAGAATTCAAGGTTATCCTCAGCTACATAGCAGGTTCAAGGCCAGAGGCCCAACCTGGACTACACAAGACCCTGTTTTTCTGTCTGTGTGGTGTATGTATAAGTTCCTGTGGGTTTATGGGGAGGGGAGGGGTGTCACACGCCAGTGTCCTCTTTGATGACTGTCCACCTTAATTTTTCAAACAGTATCTCTCACTGGAGCTCATTGAGTGGGGGGACTAATGATCACTGAGCTCCAGGGACTCTCCTTCTCTACCATCCATCTCCCTGAACCCTTCACCACTGCAGCTCTGTGCACTGCCACATGGTCTTTATATGGGTTCTGGGATAAAAACTCAGGTCTTCATGCTTGCACAGTGTGTGCACAGCAGCAGGCACATCACAGACTGGCCATCTCCCCACCCTCAAGACCTTGACTTAAAAAAAATTCATCCTGTGCCTTGAAAATATAAACTTTTCCTGGTGTTTTCTAGCTTATGATTTGATAATTAAGAGCTAGACAGAAACCTAATCAACATGAATTTGGCTCCTAGAGCCTCTAATGGAAGACAAAATGTGAGCTTTCTAGCTAATTAAAATTTTTTCAAGTTGAGTGTGGTGGATCACCTATAATCCCAGCACTCAAGAGGCTGGGGCAAGCCAATCTGACAGTCTTTCTCAAAAGCATTTTTTTTCTCTCAATAGCCACAACAAAATATAAAGAAATTGGCAAGCTAATTGTTGGCTAAAATTTTTAAATGCTGTTTAACTCAACATGTCCAGAATATTTAACTCAACATTTCCAGAATATTATCATTTTTTGCATATAACCAATATGAAGTAATTCTTTTAATTATGGTCTTTATACTACTGAATCATTGAACTGCATATTTTGTACCTGTAGCCAAATCTTGACTCAAACCTGCCTCATCTTATTGTTCAATGGTCTCCTAACAGTGGACACTATAGGTCTTAAAGAAACAGTCTTTTGCAACCCTCTGCCCACTGAGATGTGGACTGCATTAGTCTAAGTGCCCCTGACTTCTGTCTCGGCCCCTTCGCTGATCTTTTGTGTTCTTTTTGGCAGGTTTGTGTTGGAGCAGTACAATGCCCTGTCCTGGCTCACGTGCAATCCGGCCACCCAGGACCGCACTTCCTGCCTTCCTGTCCACTTTGTGGTGCTCACTCAGTTGTATAATGCCATCATGAATATACTCTAATGGGAAAAGCACTTGTTCTCTCTGGCTCAGTTCCTTCTCCTGTAGCCTCGGCCGAAGAACCTGCTCCACTCTGCAAATGCCCAATCTTTTCTCCAGACCACTCTCCACAGTCCTGCACTGTGACAGCTTCTGAGGAGGCACATGCCCATTCTGCAGTGTTCATTACCACAGTGACTCCTTGACACTTCTCATGAGGACCTGGAAACTTCCATAAGCAGTGACTTTGAGCCAGTTTATGATATATGCAGTCCCCAGGAAGTGGTGGCTGTTGGTGGCTTAAGAGAGAAACAGAAAAGACGTGTCCTTTTGCACAAGAGTCTGTTCTCAGCCTCTGTTTAAAAATGAGGGCAGCCCCGCCCTTTGGATGTAATCCTCTAGCTAATGGTGGATGGCCTGTGGGTTACCTGAACTCCAAAACCTGGGACGTTTTGTAACTTAGAGCCAGCTCAAGTATACAATTTAGTACTGGGGTTTCCACCTCCCCGGTGCTCCTAACCAGACTGGCAGGAGTGCTTTGTTTGACTTCATACCTGTGTAGATACAAAAGATCTGGAGACAGCTTCATTTTGTTTATTTATTTTTAGTTTCGTCATCAGGTTTTTGTGACTTTTTTAATTCTCGAGGACCAGGTACAGTAGCTGAAACCCAGCTCCAATCCACCATAGGATTCTCTGACTACATACCTCTGTCCTAGAAGCTGGAAATGGAGTAAAAACAAACTGTGGAGATCATGCCTGAGAAGTAATATATTCAAAACCACCCAGCAGTAGGTTTTGTTAAACACAAATTGGGCTTTATACTGAAGGCAGTCAGGCTCATCCCAGAGTGTAGAGGCAGGGACCTTTATCAGTTCTATACAGTCACATGGAAATACCTTTTCTAGAGAATTCTTACTGAAAGCCAGGTCTCTCATTAGATCAGGAGGGATTCATGTACATATCACAACCAAAAGTGTTTGCTCATAAAATCAGTTATAAATATGGTGAATTTTTTCTGGACCATAGGAATATTATTTCAAAGAAATATTACAATTTAACCATTAAATTAGTACTTGAAGTTGAGCCTTTGTGGTGGGACTTTTTTTAAAAAAAAAAAAAATGCCTTTTTAAAGCATTAACAGCTTATTGAAGTATTTTTGACTCCCCTTTCCAGGCCCTAGGGTTGTCTTTGAGACCCTGTTTCTAACCCTTGTGTTGTATGTTTCTGTCTGTGGGTGGTAGGTGTGAACCAGCCTCCCAGAGCCCCTTGACAGCCCAGGCAGTGAGCCCGCGGCATCCGTGGGGAGTCATGCAAATTTAAAAGTTCTTCCAAGAGACTTCCATGTCCTGGTTATTAACAAAGAAAAAAAAGGATATGATTTTGTAAAAGTATTTTTCTTGAAATAATCTAACGTTTAAAACATTATATTAAAATGTGTGGTGGGAACGTAAAAGCAGAGAAATAACTTGTAAATTGTCATTGTTCTCTGTTCCACCAACTGAAGGGGGAGGGGTCGACTTTCGCAATGTATAGGTTAAAAAATCTGCTATATCAAACCATTTGTATCTAATGTGTACAGTGTAAAATTGACTTTAAAAATATTGCAGTGCTATTTTTTCTTAACCAGAAAGGAAAATTCTCAAGGCCTTTTGAAGAGCATAAGATGATGGAGATTGTAAACTTGTATAAAATTATCTTGCTGAAAGGACAAATTGTAAAGTAGATATTTGTAATCTTTTACCACTTTGGGGTTGCTTTTTCCCAGAATTCATCAGAACTTTGAATTTCTTTTCTTTTCTTTCTTTTTCTTTTTTTTAAATGGGCTGTTTTTAATGCAGGGGCTTTTCTTCCCTAGAAACCCAACTCTAAGCAGAAAAAGGAAAAAAAAAAATCAAAAAACAAAAAAAACACAAAAATTCCTACAAAAAATTTTAAAAGAAGGCAACAAAGGGTAGTTTCATCTGGTGTCTTTTATTTAAGTTTTTTAAGTTAAGAAAAGCTGGTGACATATTTATACATTTTTTGCAAAAATAAATGACTTGGAATAGATTTTTTAAAAATATTATTATGTACTTCTGTGTGAAAAAGTCTGTATAATATTTCCCAAAATTGCCACACACTGCATCCCTGTTCAGCATGGAAGAAGCCAGAGCGGTCGGCATCCCTATTCCATTTCCCTTAAATATGCATTATTTTACTTGTGAGTTTTTTACAGAATTAATCTGAAATGTACAAGCCCTGGATTTGCTACAGAGTGAAAAGTTATTTTTTTTTTAATTTTTAATTTTGGAAATTCTGCAGAAATCGGAACTCTTACCATGGTTTAAATAAAAAGGGGACGTGGGAAGGGAGCAGGGTGGGCTTGTCCAGCATGCTTATATGTATATTTCAGAACCTTTTTTAAATGTAAAAGCTGTACATTTCTGGGACGTTCTGAATTTCTTTTGTTTCCTTTTTCCTTCAAGCATTTTGCAGTGAGCTTCTTTTATATATAGCAAACAATTTGAAAGAATAAAAAAATATGTGAAGTTCATTTAAAAACTACAGTATAGCGCTGGTACAGTACACTAAAAGACTTTGATAAAAAGAAACAATAATAAAAGGCCTCCATTTTAAATGTCATTCATATATACCTTGTGGATGAGAGCTATATACTTTTACACACTTTTTTAGAGGAATAAATTATTGAATTACTGAAATTTTGAGTGGCTTTTTTCCTCCTCCCATCCTGTCTTTGTAATGAATTTATGTGTTCAGAAGGTGAATGTAGCATATTTATTATGGGTCGATCACCCTGGTCTGTAAAGCGTACATAGTACTGTACTACCCGATCACCCAACAGCTGTTCCTAACTAGTGTTGTTGTTCCCAGGTCAGTTTTCAGGTGCTGACACCCAAAGAGTTCTTAACTGTCTTGAGCGGGTCAGATCTGATGGTGTCTTGTGTTGGAAGATTGGTGAGCAGTCCTAAGGCAAGTTTTCAGGTCTGTGTACATTTCCCTCTCTTCACCCTGTCAGCTAGTTTTATTGTGTTCCTTAGAAATAACAGCAGTTATCTCTGTCTCCTGACCCACCGGCTAGTGACAGTAATCTGCCAACTGGCAAGCCGCATACAAGAAAGTCCTACTGACTATACACCATCCACTGTGGTGGTCTTTTCCTCTGGGTCCATACAGATGGAAAACCCACTCATCGTAGAGGACTCTTGTGGGTTTATCCACTGTCTTGCCCATTTGAAATCTCACTAAATATGGGTAAGCCCCAGGATTTGGCAATTCTTGTAGTAAAAATGGGGATAATCTGAAAGATCTTGCTTTTAATCCACCCTCCATCTACTTAGAACTATACGCTCAATATAACAGTGTTGGAATTTAGAGAGTAACCCTCTGAGAGTTCTCAGCCCTGGTTAATTCATCTGCAGCAGAGGGGCGAAGGGGATTCCATGAGAACTGCCTTGCAAACCAGCTGTGGTGTTGAAAAGCCAAGGAAACCAAGGCCAAAGTTTGGATAAAAGCTCCCATCTATGTACATGTACTTCAGTTTGCAGTGCTGACAGCTCCATTCTTGAAGCACACACTCCCAAAATCTTTGTAGTCAGCTGAGTTGAGCATCGCCTTGGTGATCAGAATCCAGTGGGTTTTCACAGGAACTGATTAGCTTTGTTGCTTAACTGGCACAACAGTTGGCGCTTTATCCAATGATCAGATCATTGTTGGCTTTACTCGTAGTAGGAAGGTGGCTGTCCAAGCTCTACTTTCTGTACCACTGTAACAGCTGTGGCTAAATCTCTAAGGAAGAATTTATTGAATGGGGTTGAACCATCTTGACAATTAGCCATCAATTTGGCTCAGCACACTAGGAATCATCACCTCCAGCCCAGCTTGGCTTCCCATCAGTCCATCCACTTTATCAGTGTTTGTACAGTTTTATGTTCCTGCTATTTGGGAAGTCAGGGGGCAAGGGATTTCTTACTGATTGGTATCAGAGAGCCAATAAAAATCCTTATGAAACTGCATTTTGTCAATAGGTTTTAAATAGACTTACTGGAAGACCTGCTGCTGGAGCCTAAGCCACACACAGGGCAGTCTCCTGTGGGCCATGTACACTACACATCACTATAAGAAGGAAATTTCTTTAGTTCCCCTCATGCATGCTGGAGTCTGACCAAGATGCAATTTTAACGTCTCATCACATTGTCCTGGTGTTGAGTCTGTTTACAATCACTTGACAAAAGGGTCATTCTGTTACTATTCTATGTCGTTAATAACTGAGACAGTAAGGAAAGTCTGTTGTCCCAAGAATTACAAGAATATGATCTCTGCCCTGGGCCTCCAGCCATTTCCAACCAGATTTACCGGTCCCACTTCACTTTGCTTAAGTTTGAAAAGGCTTTTTGATACTCTGCGCCTGACTCAAACTCTTAAGGAAGCAAGTCAGAAACCGATGAGGAAGGTGTCTTAACATCCAGGAAGGAGGCTGGAATGCACTCAGGATGGGCTCACTTCATGTTTAAATAAAAGGGAAGTGAGAAAATCGTTAATAACTGGCTATGACCTGGTTTGGGTTGTTAGCATGGGTCCCTAAGAGCATCTGAAGTCACTCAGGCTCTCCCAGCTCATTGGGTGCCACCCTACTGTATGTTGCAGTGGCCTTCCCACAGGTCAGGCGTGTTTCAGTCCAACTGCTCCAAGAAGTCAGAGGACACTACGGAACACTGACCATCCTAGGCTAAGACTGGATAAATCCTCACTCATGCAGGGGAAGCCAGTGTGATGGTTTAACATGTAAACTAGCAACTGTTATTGTTATGGTACTCTGAGCCTGAGCATCCTCCAGTGAACATTTTGAAATTAGCACCTCTTAAATCTTACTTTGTTCACTTAGGGCTCTTGATGTTATTAAATTCATGTACACATTTTATCTAAGTAATTTCCTACTGGGTCCCCTGAAGCATGGGATTTATAACCATGGAGGAGATGGGGTGTGTGTGTGTGTGTGTGTGTGTGTAGCTGAGACAGACACAACATATATACAAGGCTTGGTATTTCTTGGGTCTCTTACCAGGTGTGGAGTCAAGATCCCATTTGCTTCACAGGATGGAACTTGTGAATGTCTAGTTATTAACACAGAGGAGGCTGGCTTTACACTGAACCAGGAATACATTCTGGGCTGAGTAGGCAGCCCAAAGTATTTGAGCATTGAAAACAGACTGCTAAAGCATGAGCTTCCACAGGTCTCAAAACTCTGCTATTTGCCAGCAAATTCATCAGATTCTCCTTCTGGAGGAAGTGGTTCAGAAAAGCATAGAAATGAATTTTCTATTTGTCCATTTTACTTAAGATTTAAAGAGGGATGTGTTTTTCTAGTGTCTTAATATGCACTTGTGACACTCAATTTTGAGCCCATACTTTTATGCATTTTCTTAATTTTTCAAGCAGTTTACTACTTTTTAGATTTTTTTCCTTAAGAAACAGTGTGGGTTTGATGTTTCGGTCTTGTCTTTTGTCTTGCTCTTTTTTTCTAGTTTCCCTAAGAGTTTTGTTGCATGCCTCTTGAATTTTAATTGCCTAATTTATTTTCACTTTTGACAATTCAGGCATTTATAGCCTAAGGCTTCTGGAAGGAGGAGGCCCTCCTCAAATTAAATGCAGAATTCTTTGCAGATCTTCATTTTCCTGGGAGAAGGTCTTTGTATCAGATTCTCAGAGGGGTTGAAAGTAAAAGGGATAGAAGTGACTGCTCCAGCCCAGTGTTTAAATTGACCACATCTGTCAGGCTCTGATATTTAATGTTTTCATTTTTTTGTTTACACTCTTGTTTTTGTATCTTTTTTTAAGGAAAGTTGTCTTTGGGTTTAAGGTGAGTCATATTAGAATATTCTCTTGCTGCACTACAATCTATTAACGGTGGGTTTTTGAAGACCTCCTCTGAAAGGTTCAACGTGTCCTAATTTGAGGACACTTGTTCCAACCAGAAATGTGATGTAGATGAATCATAAATAGAATTTTACAGTTTCCAGTAGCACATTTAAGAAGTAAACCAGTGAAGATCATTTTAACAATATATTTTATTTCACCCAAGAGAGCCAAATTCTTTTATGTTTCAACATAAAATCAATACAAAAAATTATCAGCAAT